AAAAAAAAAAAAAAAAAAGTCAGAACAGTGATGTGCAGAGAGGGACCGGAGGAAGGCCCCGTGGTGTGCACATGAGTGCACTGGGGTGCAGCCATCAGAGAACTTGAAGGACCAGAAGCTGCTGGTCTGGAAGCATCTGCTTCACTCAGATGCTAATTTATAGTGTCCTCATGAAAATATCAGCAGACATGCTCCGTCAAGACCTGTGTTGCAGCCACACAGGGGGTGGTGCAGGGGTGGTGGTGGGAAAGCAGAGACTGCCATTGGCTTGTTGCAGTGTTCCCCTCCCCACCCCTGCCTCTGTGATCAAGCAGATCCTGAGGGTGTGTGGGGCAGGGGGCTGTGGCCTGGCACCTGTGCTCCACTGTGTGTCTGCTCAGCCAAGACACTCTGATCTCCTCTCACCAGAACAGACCCAGGTAAATCGGACCTGCCCATCCCTACTCCCCTACACACACCTGCCCCAGTTTATAAATCAGGCTGGCACTTTATTAATTTACCATGAGACTCATGGTTGACACCTGACAGTGACTTGGCACATTTTCTTGTCAAGAGCTGTTGCCTTGTTGGGAAATCAAATTCAAATCCGGCAGCTGGCAGGGTAAATGCAGAAGCCAGGATGAGCTCAAGTCTGTGCCCAGAGCCAGCTCATCAGTGGCCAAGGACTTCTGGGCAGCAGACAGAGCTGTCCCCTTGGACAGGTGGAAGTAGGAGGCTGAAAACCTCGTGTCTGCACAGATCCCTCCCTGTGTTTCTGTGGGATGTACCGACTATGCGCAGTGGACACCCATCATTTTGGCAGGTGGGGCTGAAGCTCTGGAGCCTTCCCTCAGGGAGCACCTGCTACAGAACTTACCTCCCCTCACCTGGAGCGTCCTGTCTGCCACAGCCATGAGGGAGCGGGAGGGAGACAAGGAACATGTGGCTTGTTTGATGGAAATGACAGAGATTTTGCTGTGCTTGGTATCCTTTATTTGGCCCATATTTAATCTTATTTCCTTCTGGGTGGCATTAGGCGACCATGTGACATGCAGCCCAGCAGATCTAGGAGGATGCTAACAAGCTGAATCCGGCAGGCATGGAGGTACAAGGGTCTCGCTCTGCTGGCAGGGGTGGCTGTGACACCGTGCTGCCTAGCAATGCTGATGCTGAACGCCACCACCAGAATTAGCCTTGCTCTGGTGGGGCTGCTGAAAGGACTGTGGGGTCAGAGTGCGAGGCCAAGGGTGCTTCACTCTCGTTAGCTGTGTGTAACATTGGGCCTTGATTTGGCATCTCCCATCTCGGCTTCCTCAGCTGTAAAGTGGGTGTGGCATCAGGCTCCCCCACAGCTGAGCATGGGCCAAGGCATGTCTGAACAAGAGCAGGACTTCAGATGAGGCAGATACTGGAGCCTGAGTAACGGTCAGGTGAGCACTGGGAAAGGAGGGGAGCAAAACAGCCAGGGTCTGTAGGACCCAGGGGAAAATTCCCAGGCAGGCCTGTGGGTGCAGGTCTGTGTTCTGAGGAAGCTCTGTGAGGGGCTGGTGTCGAACGTGGACATGTCACAAACCTGTGCAGAATGCACCCCTTAGAGCAAGAACCCAACCCAGACAAGGGCTGAGGGTGGACTGAGTCCTGAGGATGGAAAGGGCTGGAGCCCAGGGCAGGCACGGCCAGGAGGGCAAACCTTAGCTGACTGGCATCGGCATCACCCTGGGCAGGTGTGTAGGGGCTGGAGAGGCAGGGCCTGGGTGGCCACATCTGGCAGGCCTGAGGCTCCCCTGGGCCTCAGCTCCTCTCTCAGTTGTCAACATGGGAGCCCGTGCCCTAGTGGCCATCTAGCACAGCCTGGAAGGCCAAGATCCCAAGACTTTCCACAGTTATCGGACACCCTGGGCCCTTCTCAGAGAAAGACCTTTATCTTTCTCCCTAGAGAATGGGACAACAGCCTCCCTCCTGGGAATATAAGGAGTGACTGAGTGGATGTGTGTGATGTGCAGTAAGAAGTGCCTGGAGTTCCCAGCTCAGGCCGGGCACCCTAATTCCCCAACGTGAAGCACACACCCCCTCACCAGGCACTGGTCAGGAGCTGCCGGCAGACCAGGAAGGGGCCCTCACCTGCGGATGGTCCTGAGCAGGGTGGAGCGGGCTTCGTTGTGGAAGGTGATGATGATGCTGGTGGGCGGGAGGTCCGTGTAATACACCAGCAGGGTGCATCTGGGGAAGAAAGGCAAAGACAGTGAGACTCTTGGGGCAAGGAGACCTGAAGGGCTACGACAGGGGTTCTCAACCTTCCTAATACCGCGGCCCTTTAATACAGTTCCTGTGGGTTGAGAACCACTGGGCTAGAAACAAGGGCACCTAGTGTCTGGAGGGCGTCTCCAGCTGCAGAGCCCTGGCTGAGATCCCATGGCCTCACCTGACCCTAGGAGGGGCCAGGGAGCTCAGAGAATAACTGAAGTCCCATTTCCCACCACCTTGGGGGAACTTGGGCTTCGAGCAAATCAAGGTGCTAAACAGAAAATGGAAGTGGCATTTCTTACATGCCTGAGTGTGCACAGCGGTCCCCACCAGCCGCATGAACCCGACCCCAGATCTCGGGCTCTGCTCCCCAGCTGTTTTCCTTCCAGCCCTTTCCCTTGAGCCCCTGGCTAGCAGGCAGCTGCTCCCCGGGTTCGGAGCCAACAGCTCCAGCCCACTGTGCCATGCTGCCCCGGCCTCTGCCACACACACCTGAATCTGGCATGTTTGAAGAGGTGAAGCCCCAAACCCCTGTGCAAGCAATAAAACCCCATCTTGAAAAAGCATTCACTTCCATGGAGCCAGGATTATTTTGTATGACAATTACATCTGGGGTAATTTCAATTTAATACCTCGCTGCAAGTGAAAATTGTAGCCTGCAGCCCGAAAATTACTATAATAATGAAAATAAACCTGCCGAGTGAGGCTGGTGCCACCAGGGCCATCACTGGGTAAATGCTTCCTCCTGTTTCTTGCTGTTTCAGGGTTGTCCAATTATTGGGGGGGGGTATTAAAGAGGAAGTAAAAATATCAGACTTGGGGGGGAGTCAAACATTTTCTCTTTTCACTTTCCCATTTTCCCGTAGGCCTGGGGCTTTTAATGTGGGCCCAGGGGTGGCCTTCAAGGGTGGGTGAGCCCTCTGAAACTCTTCGCAAATTGTGTGTGCAAATGTACATTATTTCCTTGAAAAGATGGTTTGCAATTCTCAGTAGATTCTCAAAGAAGTCTGTGGCTTATAATACTTAAGATCTTCAGTCCCAGGCTATCGAGTCTGAATTCCCTCTGCCTCCCTGATAACTCAGGATGGTTTAGTGCATGCTATTGGCACAGAGAACTTATTCAGAGGAAGCTGGGCTGTTCTGCTCAGGACCAGCCTTGGCTGGGCTCAGCTGATCAACAAGGAGCCAGGAGTTGGGGCTAGAGACAGTGGGAAGGGTGAGCCTTGACCTTCAGGCCTGCACCTCTCCCCATAGAGGCAACTCCCTGCTATGACCTTTCAGTTCCACCTCCTGAATGCCTCACTTCTCTCCTCCTCATGGCCCAGCCAGGACAGTCTTTACTCCTCAGGGAAGTATTACAGCAGCCTCCTGCCCAGTCTCCCCGCCTCCAGCCTCTGCTCTCCCAGTCTCAACCTGTCTACCTCCCAACTCAGCCTCTGCTCTCCCAGTCTCAACCTGTCTACCTCCCAACTCAGCCAGGCCTTCCTCTGGCCTGAATCCTTCCAGCAGCTCCTGATGTATAAAGTCCCAACTCCCCATCACAGCCTTCAGGGCCTTCCACACTCACAGTCTTATATGCCACCATAATTCTCTGCCATTGCTCATGCTGTCCCCTCTGCATGGAGCAATGTCCTTCCTCCTTCCTTCACCTGAGGAGCTCCTGTTCATCCTTCAAGACCCAAAGCAAATGTCCTCTCTGTTGTAAAGGTGTTATATACTCCCCCACATAGTTAAGGACCTGTCCTTTGTGCTCCTATAATTTTGCGCACACACACGTCTCATGATGAGACTGTCTCTCTCAGTTGACTATGAGTTCATCAAGGGAGGGACCCATGGCCTTGTTCATCTGTACATGACTAAAACAGGATTTAAGTACACCTGATGTTCATTTATGGAGAGAGAAGGAAAATCAGGAAATTCATGCCTAGATCAGCTGAAGATGTAGCTTTTCTAGTTTTCTGACGTGTGGCGGTAAGCCTCCCAGATGGCTCCCAGTGGCTCTCATCTACTGGTTTTTATGCCCTGAGGGGTACACCCGCCCCCCCCCTTCACTGAACCAAGGTAGTTAATATGACCAATAGAACTGGCTGGGGGAAAGCCAGCCACCATGTCATAAGGATGCTCAAGCAGCCCTGTGGAGAGGAACTGGGGCCACCTGCTCATAGCTGGCACCAACCTACCAGCCACAGCAGAGAGCCACTGTAGAGGTGGGCCCACCAGATTTAGTCAAGCCATCAGATGACAGCAGCTACAGTGCACTTCCGAGTACAGCTCAATGAGATACTACGCCAGAACCTCCTGCCCAGCCAAGATGTTCCAAATTACCGACCCACAGACACAGTGAAGGCAATCAATGGTTCTTGTTGTTTTAAGCCTCAAAGTTAAATCAGGAGTGATTTGTTGTGCACTAGATACCCATTATAAAAAGAGAAGGAAAATGTCTTAAAATGGCCCCCAGTGAGTTACTGGACTTGCCTATCATTGGACAAAGACCTGACTTGATTAGGGAGCAGAGAGGAGGGAGGAGGGCTGGCAGCCAATAGAGATGGGGATGGCGGGAGTAGGGAGGGGAGCGGGGATGCTGTTTGGTAGGCAGGTCATGGATCCGTGAGAGTGTGGAGGAGCTTGGAGAGGCCCTAGCAGAGGGGGAGGCAGCCAGTACAGTTAGCACCAAGAGAAGCAGGTGGACATCAGGGAACAGGGGACCATCTGTCCCTCTAAAGGAAAGTCACAAGTCAGACAGTTGAGCAGAGTCTTCTGTTCTCTCCCACAGAGACAGGGGCAACACAGAGAGCCTGAGCTAAGTGGCCACTTCGGAGAACACTGCCAGGAACAGGGTGTGTCCAATGGCCCAAGTGTTGTTTCCTGGCTGTGATGGTCTCTGCCATGGGGAGAGGATACTCCGAAATCCCTTCTAGGGGTCAGGCCCTAGGCACTGCATTGGATATGGCTTCCCCTTCCACATGCTGGGATGCAGGGAAACCCCAAACCCCAGCTTTTGTGATGTAAGTTATTCAGGGGCAAGTTGGGAAGGGAGGGTGGTACTGCGAGTTGTTACTGCTTAGAGAACTTTAGGGGATAGGAGCCATTTTCCATGCCTTGAAGATACCAGCTAGGATGGCAGACATGTTGGTGCATGACACAGAAGCATGAGCACACAGCTGGCAGAGGTGTAACCCTGCCTGGGGTGGAGAAGGAGGTACAGGTCTCATGGGTGAGGCAGGGACAGACGGGGCATAGAAACCCAGGGGCAAGCACTGATCTGAACCTTTGGACTAAGTGAGGTAGTTCACAGGGTCCTGGCTTAGGGTCAGGACATGGCAGACCAGCTGTGGGACCTTCAGCAAACCACCCTGCTCACAGGATACTGCCTGTTCATCTGTAAAACGGGGTGGGTGAGGGCTCCTACAGCAGCAGCAGCTGGAAGCTCCGATCACTGCCCACGTTCAGTAAGCATGGTTCATTTGAACAGAATGTCACAAGGATCACTGTGCAGCTGAGACTCAACTGTGTCACTAGGCATCCAACTTTATAATTTCCAAACCTCAGTTTCTTCATCTGGAAAACAGAGATAATTCATCCCCTAGACTATTACTGTGTTAGGTTATAACAGATGCTTGACTATTATTTTTAATATCAGTGCAGATCTGCTGATCGTGCTGCCTGTTGGGTGAATGCAGAGGCTGCGTGGGCTGCAAAGACATCTCTGGTGAGTGGTTCTACCCTGTCCTTTCAGCGGGTAAGGAGTACAGGGGGCAAGAGGAGGAGAGATCAGAGAGGATGGCATCAGTGTCAAGGAAAGGAACCTAGACGCCAAGGCCTGGGCTTCAATCAGGATGTTCCAAGAACTGGCTATGTGCCCTTGGCCTGTCATTCCTTCTCAGAGCCTCAATACTGTCCCCTGTAAAATCTGGATAGCTTTGAATTCTTGTTGTGAAGACTGCAGGTAACATATGCAAAGTGCCCAGTGTTTAGTCGGCAATGAGTAAATGGCAGCTACAATCCTGGTCACAACTATAGAATGACTGAGCCACCCTCTGTGTAGCTTCCAGTGTATGTGACTGGATCCCAAGCCTGTGGTTTAGAAGAGGAAGGGGCGGTGGGGATGACCCAGTTCTGCCTCCTGAGCTGCCTGGCTGTGCTGCCGCACAGGCCTCAGTGGGAGCCCGGGCAGCTGTGCTCCTGGCCTCTGAGCCATCAGCCTCCTTTGCCTGCAAGGGAAAGGAAAGGTGCCCTCCTGAGACTGGCCAGGAATCCCGAGAGTGCCCCCAGCAAGCACAGGCCAGGGGGAAGGGGGCAGGCAGGCAGCAGGGTGAAGTCTCACAACTCGCAGGCTCAAAGGGCATCACAGGGCATTCCTGCTGCTCCCGTTCATGGCCGGCCCCTTGCCTCATCTGACCCTCACAACAGCCTCAACCACACCCACTCTGGAAATGAGGTAAACTGAGGCTCGGACTCTTGGTAGTGGCCACACACCTGGTGAATGACAGAGTTGATGGCACCCAGATTCCCTGACTCCTCCTTGGTGCTTGTCCCCAGAACCCCTGTGAACCCAACTGGATTCAAGCCAGCAGATGCCCCGTGCCTCTGAGCCCTGTGCATGAGTCACAGTGTACAAGGCTGGCCAAGAGGCTGAGAGAGACCCTGAGGGCTGGACAGCCTGAGGAGAGTTGGCCCAGGCAGCAGGCTTTCTGTGGGAGGGGTCTAAAAGATTAATCAAACAGCAATCTCTATTAGGGGCGCAAGGGAATGCGCACGCCTGCCAACATAGAGCTCTGGCGCCCGCAGACTGACGAGAAAGCACGTTAATGATTTATTAAAGATTCTGTGTTTTACTGGAAAGAAGAGCCAGTGAGCAAGAAAGATCGCTGTGGGGGTGGGGGATACCAAACAAGTCTCCGGAGCCAGGAGGCAGGCGGGTCCCTGGCTCTGTGTGCAACCAGACTCCCAGGGTCTGCAGGGCTGCCAGCCAGGCC